CCCTAAAACAAACCTTCTTTGATTCACCTAATACATTTTGGCCACAACACAATATAGGTAAATCATCATCGATGGTCAGAGAAATGGAGGGCTTCATGAGCTAAAACTCTCAATGTGTTTTGTTGATTACACAACTTCATTAGGAGTAGGAAAAAAATGAATATTCTACAAGATATACATAGAGTGTTGTCACAAAATAATCATAATTCTATATTATTCGATATAATTCGATAAGAATGTTATTAATTATCCAAAACAAACTTACAAAATTGCTGTATCACGGCTAAGGCTTAGGGACCTGAAGTATGCTGGTCAATGCTAGCTCCCAAAAGAAAGGACAGAAAATGTCCCTAAAGACATGGAGGACCCAGCAGAGGCCAAGGCAGAAATGAGTGGTCAATATCTATAAGGGAAATGAACAACAGGTTTCCTGAAGTGTCATTTATTAATTAAACAGCATACTCAATAGCAAATGTATCTATACAATATATATGTACCTTAATCAAAGATGGTAGTGAGATAACTAGCCCCTGCAATCTCCTAGTGGTGGGAGATATGAATCCCATTATAGTAATCTAATAGAACAGTCTTTAAATCCAGCATGTTGAATATAAAACAATTATTTGGTATCAGTTAAACACCCCAATCAATTGAATCAGTGTATTTTACAAGCTAGTCAGGATGTTGGTACCACTCTTTATAGATTCATAAATTTGGGTCCACTTGTCCATTCCTGTTTCAGTGCTGTTAGGAGAAAAATTTCCAATGGGGACACCTATTCCAGAGATACCTACCTAAGAGGAAAATCTCCTCTAACATCCTGTTGCATTTCTGAGATAGAAAAATGATCTTCCCCATTGGTCCACAGACAGCAACAAATAGCCTTATGGGGGTTTTATCCCTTACTTTCCTCTGAAACCAAGAAAAGTATTGGCTAGACCTACAGTTCAAATGTCTTTGGCATTAATAGAAAAGGGATTCAGAAATGAAAGCAAAATTCCAGGTTATAATTATCTACTCTGAAATCTGCTCCCACACCCCTTCTAAAACCTATACTAACTACTCTGTAGAAGAAAGATGCTTACCTATGTAAGAAAGATATACTACCTATTCTCAGGGCAATCTGGTCCAATCACATGATCTCCCTAGTGGCCAGCTTCAGGGGAGAGGAGAGAGGGCCAACAATGAATGAAATGCCTGGATGTGATGTTACCCATAGATTTATTATAGGGCATCTGTTGCTGGCTGCCCCTCCTTTCCCCTGAAGCTGGCCGCTGAGAGCAAATCATGTGACTGGACTACAGCACTCTGAGAATAGGTAAGTATAAGTGTCTCCCTTCAACAGGGTAGTTGGAATAGGAGTTAGAAGGGGGGTGGGTGTAGATTTAAGGTTAAATGTAAAGTTTTCTTTAAATTTCCTCAAAAAACAAATATGCAGATATATAATAATACATTTGTAGCACTACCCCCTTAGGATTTGCTAGAGATTTCGGTCCCCCCCTATAGTCCTGCACAACCAAGCAACATGAATTTCCTTGAGATCTTGCACACAGGAGACAGGAAACAGTGAACTTGTTTTTTTGGGGGATTTTATTAGGGGTATTGAACTTGGATAGGACTGAGGGATGTATGGGATGCCCAGGGGAACTGTTAACTGAGGACAAACTTCTTAGCAACTATGTACAAGTCCTTTTTAGACAGCAAAGTCTCTTGGTTGGAAGAGCTCTCCAGTCCACCAGATGTACCCCCTCAGACCGCAGATGAATTATCCTCTTCATCCAGCAGCGTGGAGGAGCCCTGGGCAAGGGGACCCAGAATCTGCCACTTTTAAATCAGCAGTCCCAGAGGGGGGCTAGTCAGGTTTCTCACCAGAATGACCTCTCCCCTTATCTGACCCAGGGTGTGTGGGATTACTCCCTCAGTCCTCTCCTGCAAGCTTATGGGTTGGTGGCTGCCTTCAGGCCTTACAGTGGACTGGTTCCTTTCCTGCTTCCCAGGTTGTCCTCTCTCAGGTAGACCATTGAGGCTGAGAGATCATCCACTCCAGCTCCTGCCTGCAGGTAGGCCCCTCTCCTGGACCCCCTCCCAGGCTCCACACTCCATCCTGCTCACTTCACCTGAACTCTCCTGCTGCTGAGCAGGCTCTGACACTCTTACGGGCTGTTCTGACCCCATGCCAAGCTTTCTGCCTGGCGATTGGCCAGGATCTCTCAAGAGTGCAGACCAGCTCCTCCTCACCCCTGCCCACTGAGTTCTATAGACTTCTTCAAGTCTCTAGAACAGGGGGAGGTATCAGAGAGCTTATCTGCAAAAGCCTCTCAGCCCTGACCGTGTGCCCTATCAGCTCTGTCTGTGTTTATATTTGTGTCTTGTAGTTCCCTACACAGTATAGTTTAAACTGGGAGAGGAAAGTACAAAGCTATAAGCCAGCCAGGCCTAAATGCATTGCACACTACACAGGAAGTTGAATCAAAGGAGGAGAAAGCATAGAGCTGACTTCATTGGTGCAGCTCTTTTATTATCCAATTATAAGCTTGACCAGTCCTTGGCCAAACTGTATTGCTTTAACTGCAGCAGAGAAAATGAGGTCAGATACTGTCAGTGCTGTCTGACAGGGATGTCTAGACTGGATAACATTTCCTTTGGAAGAAAAACAATACATACAAGATAAATACAATAAATAGTGATTGCTTGACTGCTACTATGGTGTAGTATATGTATTTTCACATGCAGAGATTTTATATATATATAAGGTTTAGTTGGCTATAAAAGGAAACTAAATATTTTCGGTTTAATTGTAAAACTGAAATATTCAGTTAGCTGGAAGGAAATCAATACCTCATGTCCAAAATGACAAATGTTCAAACAACAAAATGTTCCAACAGCTGTTTAAGTGCAAATAAAATTGCCAGATCGCATAAGCATTATTAGAACCCACACAGTTATCCACGTGCTGTAGCACAGTTAATCCAAAGGAGACATAATGGGATCCATCCAGAGGTTTTCATTTGCCTATAAACTGTTGACATAGTAACAGAAATGCACATGTCTGTAGTGTGATTAAGTCATTATCATAAACTTTAAACAATACCACTGATGTCATAAATCACAAACAGTACAGGAAAGCTCATTTTTTAAATACACTTCTGGAAATGAACAAAATACTTTTTTTTAATAAAAAGGAGAACTAGCCAATTTGACAAATGTTTTTGTTTTGAATGAAATAGTTTCATTTGTAAATTATAGAATGAAAGTCCATCTGAAGACAAAGCTTAATGTTTTTATTTGTTTTGGATAAAGATGTGATGACTTAGTATCTCTGTAAGAGATCAGCCAATGGACTGATAAAAAAAACCTGTCATTCATAACAGTTAAAACTATTGTTTATAACAATGATCGTGACTGTAAGAAGCAATAACTGTAAAAAAAAAAACCCTGATCACCCCAAGAGTAGTGCAGCTGTATTTATTTATTGTACCTGTTGTAACTGTTTGTTTTTGATGTGCGTTGCCCTTCCATATGCTCCTTTCTGCAAAGGCTAGTTATAGGTTGGGGTGGTTGCCATTTGTTTGTATAGTTGTATATACAGGATTATCGTACTGACTTCATGCACACTATGTATTTTTAACCACTTGACCTCCGGAATGTTTTACCCCCTTCATGCCCAGGACATTTTTTGCTATTCAGCCCTGTGGTACTTTAATTGGCAATTGCACAGTCATGCAACACTGTTCCCAAATAAAATGTATATATTTTTTACACAAATAGAGCTTTCTTTTGATGGTATTTGATCACCACTGTTTTTTTTTTTTTTTTTTGCTATATAAACAAAAAAGACCAAACATTTTAGGGGAAAAAAACTGATACTTTCTACTTTCTGTTATAAAACATCAACTTTCTACATACATTTAAGCCAAAACATTCTGTGTCCAATCACAGCATGGGTTGGTTATTCAACACTGAGTGCAGGTGGATAGTTTCAAAATAAACGGTATTATTTTACAGAAAAAAAAGCATAAATATTGTACTGAATTCATGCACAGTATTTAGGCACTTCTACTAGGCCACATATTCAGAGGGAGTCACCATCCAGGCAGCTTTTAGTCAATCAATCAAAAAATGAGAGTACATTAGTAAATAGCAAGACATATTGTACTTACTCCATGCACAGTATGTAAGCATTTTTACTAAAGCTGAAATGCACTCACATGACAGCAGTAAAAAGCAGGCACATCTCTGAGTCTGTACATTGTTGAGGTATACTCCACTACTGCTGTGTATAGCCGTCGCCCTCTCGGCCTCTGGCTGGCTGAATGCTGAGGGGGACTCAACTGAGGGTTGGAATGCAGTTGGAGTGCAAGCAATCGTGGCTCTCAGGGAGGTGACATCACCGAAAATGGCGCAACACGTTTTGGAGTATGAGCATATCGACTGGCGTCGTGCGCGCTCCTTGCTCAAGCTAATCCATCCAGGATAATTGTTTTTTTTTATTCTTTATTTAAGGTATGCAACAAAACATAGCAGCATGATATGACAGACCATGCACATCAACATCTGATAACATAAGATATTTTTTTTTTCAATAAAGAGCAAGCTGGATGATATAGAAAACAAATCACAACACATTAAACCCAAAACCAAAAATGTAATATATTACAGCTTACAATCATTGGATATGGTGACTTTATTAGTTTTCTAGCTGGTTTCCCCTGATCTATCTATTTCACCTGGTGATAAGGCCAGTAACACTATTAGAGTGCCCTCACTCTGGAAGAAGCACAGGGGCACCTTTGGAAAGCAGCACTGTTAATCTGGCTGGAGGGTAGTGTTAGGTGTACTAGCAACTTTAGATACAATAAAAAGTTGAAGCCAAACTCCAGCTCACAGAATCTAAGCAGTTAAAGAAAACAGTTTTTTTTTTTGTTCCTTTTGTGATAAAGATTTTACATAGATACATAAAAGCTGATTGTTGTAACCATCCCTCTCAGTGGTAAATGGTTTTATTAACCTCCCTGGCGGTATTCCCGAGTGTAGCTCGGGGTAAAATTTCAGTACCAAAAGCGGTAACCCCGAGCTACACTCGGGCTTACCATGCGGCGTGGCTCAGGGATTCCCTGCAGCACTTACCTTGTCCTTCGCTCCCACGATGCGTCCCCTGCAGCGTCCCCGGCCATCTCCTCTGGCCGATGCCGGCATCTGGCTTCCGTGTTCCGGACCCTGTGAGCGTCGGGACGTACGGGGGCCAGAACTGGAGGCAAATTTAACAATTTTAGAAACTGTCATTTTCTAATAAACGAATATGACATAGTTATAATAGCAAAAAGTTCAGTGAGCGCTAACCAATACAGCAGCTGATACACTAAAAAGGAAAACCATACAACCTTAAAAATGACATAAACATAAATAGTGCAGCGCTAGAATCGATGTATATAACTGCACCAATAAAATATATATAAAACAAATGGTGCAAAGTTACTTAAATAATATCAAATGGTGTGGACCACATGATGTGTGTATATAGTTTCCAACAAAGATACAGTAATAACATATATCACACACCTTCACTTCACTATGTAAATGCACAGTATAAATGCATAATAAAAATGATAGTCCAGTGAATATCTAGTGGTGAAAAGGCCACGGATGAACTGAGAAGAAAGTGACTTGATAAGATCCCAGTGACAAATATAGTCCAGCGTTGTACAGAAAAAATGAGTAAATTGCACACTCACCAGAGGCACAATTTAATTGCGCATTTGCGTCATATACACCAGAGGTCCCTCCAGCTATGGATGGAATGAAGCCCGGAATGGATGACTCCGCGATGGGGGGTGCCACAGTAAAACATATTACATAGTAAAACATTACTGTTTCAAACCATTTCACATACATTTTGTCCCTAGTGCTTTGTCCTGTGCCCTGCCTGCATTTTGACTGTTCTTTCTGCCTGGAAACTTAGAAAAGTCTATGGCGTCCAAAAAGTGTCCCTTTAGGTCAAAAGCGGTTTTAGACCAGTTAGAGAACAACGATAGTAAATCAGAACTACTTGCAGAATTAAGTGATAATGATTGGTGGGGAAATTCGTCATCAGACACTGAAAACGATTCTGTGACTTTGCTCAGCGATGTGCGAACTTGACGCTATATTTCAAATTTCAGTGTTTTTGGTTTGATTATATTGAATTCAATTTTTTATTATTTATATTATTATTTTTTATGATTATGTATTAAATTATAATTTATGATTTGTGTTTCAAGTTTTATCATACCTGGAATGTTTACTAGACTCTTGTTCGGACAGATTTCAGTGAGTTATTCCTAAAAATTACAAGCCTACAATAAAAAAAAATATGTTTCCATGCAAAAAAAATGTACTGCTTTCAGCACAGAAATATGGACATAATCATACCGCTAGGGAGGTTAATCCTCTGCTTCATCTGCAAGAGAGCTTGTTCGTTTGAGAAACAACAGATTTTCTGACAGGATCACCAAGGGAAAATAAAAAATAAAACCTAAAAAAAGAAAACTAATACAGCCATCACATCTAAGAATTGATAAGCTACAATATAATAAATGTTTGCTTTTGAGTTTAATACTGCATTAAGCTTAGACTGGTGGACCTTTTGGAGGTGATTGAATAATTCAATAAGTTTCTTAGCAATGTTCTTCCAAAAATATTTCAGGTTAAGTGAGCACATATAGTTGGGCCTTTGACAGAAGAGCTTAGAACTGTTTTATTCAAACTACTAAACTTTCATGTAAAGAAAGAAATTCTGCAATTTTATTGGGGCAATCCTTCCTTATTATACAAAGGTTTAAGGCTATTCCTACTTCAAGTTTTCCCACTGAATGTTGTTAAAAAAGGGATTTTACTCTACTGTTTATTAGCCACTTCACGTTCAGCCCATGTATATGAACGGCCATTTGGGGGCAGTGCAGAAGTGAGTTGACATTCATAAATGGTGCCCGCCATTTGGGACTGTGACCGCTGTGTCCTCTGGATCGCTGTACAGGACCTCTATGTGAGGTCCCAATCATGTGATCACTGATTGGCCAATCAGTGATCACATGAATAGTAGTAAGCAAGATGTCACTTCTGACATCATTGCTTACTACTTGTGAAATCTGTGAATGATCACATAGATCACATGGTACAAGGCTATTCACAACAGCCTTGTACCATGTGCCAAGCTGTGACAAATCACAGCTCACACAGTTTTTCTCAATGGCTGCAAGAATGCAGCCAGAGAGAATGAGAAATGATTGCTTTTACAGCCTTAATGGGTATAAAAGCAATCAGTGTAAAAAAAAAAAAAAAAAAATCTTCATCACCCCCCCACAAGTAGTAGAGTGTCACTATGGTGCCACTGTACTGCTAGGGTGACAGTATGATTAACAAAAAAACCATAAATAAAAATATAAACAAATAAAATAGAAATGTAAAAATATTTTTTTTTTAAATTATAATTTTTAGTTATAAACTAATTTGGGTTATTTTTTTTTACTAAAAAGATAACTGAATACATTTTGGCCAAGATTTATGAAGAACGATTATTTATTTGCAAAATTTTAGAAATTTTAAAAAAAATATATTTTGGACTTTTTCTGTTTTGAACATTGAAAATGGAAGGTTAATTAAGTATAATTTTAATCTCTCATGGAATGTTGTGGCATTGCATTCACTGATTAAGAGAAAGTGAGTGTGCATGCAAATTGGGGGCAAAAACGTAATTGTCACTGTGTTGAAATTGTGGCAAACCCCATACATTTACCCCATTGAAGCATCACCCATATTTTTTTAAATTATGCTTTTTGGAGATGCCTTTGGTCTGGGCTATTTCCTATTCTTCCTGCAGCAGTGGTAGATGGTCTTCTATTACATAGAGAACAATGCTCATAATGATTCGTAAGGGCATGTCCTTGATGCCCTTGGTTCACGGGATGTGGGAAAAGTTATGCTTAATTAGCAATTTATGTATCACTGTCTGTTTGTAGTCAGTTGAAAGAAGTCTTTTGCTTACTGGATATACACAAAAGTGGATGATTCATCATAAGCGACTTATGCCTTAAGAGGATCTCCAGACTTTTTTTATTTTGTTTGAATATATTTTTAAATGTTTTACAAGCAATTAAAGTAAACACAACATTTCAGTTGTATATACCTTTGTACAATATATCAAGGTAGACAAAAGCAAATTCCTTTATATTGTAAACTCCATGAGCAGGGCCCTCTTATTCCTTCTATAGTCAGCTGCCAGCACTCCAAATGCACAACTCTATATTAATCAATAAAACATATACTGTAAGTAGTTCAGAGCAATCTGAACTATATACTGCAATACTTCTACCCCTGTCCATAAACACCTCAACTATGTAATCCAAAATGTCCAAACACCACCTGACAGTGTTGTGCAACTTATCAATAAAAAAACAATAATTAGTGAATCTATTTCATGAAAAAAATATTTAGTGTTTATATACAAATAGTGCATTCATAAAGTATTCAGACCCCCTTTTCACTTTTTTTAATTTGTTATGTTGCAGTCTGATAATATAGTTGTTTAAATTTTTTTTCTCATTAATCTACACTCAGTAACCCATACTGACAATGTGAAAACAGAATTTGTATTTATTTATTTCTGGTACTTATATAGCACCATCAATTTACGCAGCGCTTTACATATATATTGTACATTGACATCAGTCCCTAACCCTCAAGGGGAGTACAATCTAAGGTCTCTAACTTACATTCATACATACAAATACTAGGGCCAATTTAGACAGGATCCAATTAACCTACCAGAATGTCTTTGGAGTGTGGGAGGAAACCAAAGTTCACAGAGGAAACCCACACAAGCACAGATAGAACATGCAAACTCCAAGCAGGTAGTGCCTAGGCTGGGATTTGAACCAACGACCCTAGTACTGCCAGGCAGAAGTGCTAACTATTTAGCCACTGAATTTTAGAAATGTTTGGAAATGTTAGAAAAAGAAAAAACTGAAATATCACATTGGCATAAGTATTCAGACCCTTAGCAACAACACTTGAAGAGCACAGTGGCCTCCATAATTCTCAAATGGAAAAAATTTGGTACAACCAGGACTCTTTCAAGGGTGGTCACCCAATCGGGGGAGAAGGGACTTAGTAAGAGAGGTGACCAAGAACCTGATTGTCACTCTGACTGATCTCCAGAGACCCTGTGTGGAGATGGGACAAAGTTCTAGAAGGACAAACATCACCATGAAAAGGAAATCTGTATACTTTATGAAAAAATATAAAATATTATATATATATATATATATATACATACAGTGCTCAGCTTAAATGAGTACACCCCTTTTGAAAAGTAAGATTTTAACCATTATCTCAATTAACACAAGAACAAATTCCAAAATATGGACAAAACTGAGCTATATAGATCATTTGTAACTTAGATTACAAAATCTTCAGTTTTGCTTATATTAGTTGCTACAAAAATGAATACACCCCACAACAAAAACTACTACAACTAGTATTTTGTATAATTTGTAAGGACAGCACCAAGTCTTCTAGGCATGGAATGAAAAAGTTGGCAACATATTGCAACATCTATCTGTTTCCATTCTTCATGAATGGCCTCTTCTAGAGCTTGGATGCTGGATGGAGAGTGAAGCTCAACTTGTGGATTCAGATCAGGAGACATACTTTGCCACTGAATCACTTTCATTCATGTTCTTCTTCAGAAATGCAACAGTGGCCTTAGATATGTGTTTTGGATCATTGTCATGTTGGAAAAGTGCATAATGACCAAGGGCACGGAGTGATGGTAGCATCTTCTCTTTCAATAGAGCAGTATATCTGTGAATTCATGATACATCAATGAAATGTAGCTCCCTAACACCATCAGCACTTATGCAACCCCACAGAAGGACACTGCCACCACCATGTTTCACTGTAGGCACCATGCATTTTTCTTTGTACTCCTCACTTTTTGTGACGCCATACAGTTGTGAAGCCATCAGTTCAAATAACATTTATCTTTGTCTTATCACTCCACAGTACAGAATCTCAGTAGTCTTCCTCTTTTTCAGCTTGGGCCCTGGCAAAATCTAGGATGGCTTTTTTGTGCATGGGCTTTGGGAGAGGCTTCCTTCATGAACGACACCCATGTATGCCATTCCTCTGCAGTGTACACAGTAATGTGTTACAGGAAACAATCACCCCAGTTTGGCTTTCTACTTCTTTAGCTAAATGCAGTGAACTTGCATGGAGATTTCTTCAACCCTTCTCATAAGAAGACACTCCTGTTGAGGTGTTAACTTCCATGGACAACCTGGATGTCTCTGTGAGATGATTGCAGTGCCATCTTTGTTAATGTATATATCACTTTTGCTACAGTATTCCAACTGATAAGTAAAGCTTTTCTGATCTTCTTGTAGAATTCCCCTTTCTTGTGTAAGGAAATTATTTTCTTTCTCAGGCCTTGTGACATTTCTTTCATTACATACTTGAATAGAAGGCTCTACTAATAGATAGGACTGCAGTCCTTTTTTGCAAATGTCCTCAAATAGCAATTTTATAGGAAGTAGGAATCACATCACTTGCTGTCATCCATCAATAAAAGTTATAGCCTCACAGTTCTACAATGGAGATAGCCTTCCAAACTGTGTATATATTGTTTTCCTTGGAGAGGGTTCTACAAAGAGCTCTCTCTTTATCCTCCTCCCAGGTGCAGGGCAGTCAGCTGTCTGCTATTGCTGCTATTGTGCGCTCTTCTTTCTCATTCTTTGCTGCTATGAAGAGGCAAATCCACCTGTCCCCTGACAGTGAGGACCAGCTTACTTTCATTAAAATTAACCAGTCTTAAATTAACAATATCTAAAAAACCCCTGCTGCTGATGCTACAGGTGGAACCTTTAAATGTCATCCCTGCAAAAAAGGATACCTGCCACCATTATCAATTCCTGCCACCTATCCTTGTCTGTTCTGGTACTCCTGCACTTCAGCTCCCACACTACGCAGCACAGCCATCCAGAGCAGTGTGTTTACGGTGAGGCACCAACACACCGCCCCCCAGTA